TCATGGCCACTTACGGCCGGATTTCTTGTTTCGACTTGAGCGGCTTCGATTATATTCTCGGCTAGGGGGTCATAAAGAAAAAGAAAGCCCCATTGACTACGGAAGACGTCGGGAAACCAATCACGTAATTGTCAAAGCGGAATTTTGGATAAGGTAGGGTCATGCCAAAAAATTACATGACATTTGCCTCTAATTTTTTTTTCGTTTCCAGGCGCCCAATAATGACACAAAATGTATATGAGCACGATCCTTCACAGTACACAAAATCATAGCGGAAATTGTTAGTTTAGCGAAAAGCAGAACTAGACAAAGTTAACGATATCTTTATCTAAATGTACGGTTAGATTTACGATATATATTTATTACTCTATCTAGAAGTCGCAAAATACTTTGGAAAAGTGAAAAATAAACCATGTAAATCGGGCTTCGAAGTCGTCGAACTTGAAAGAAGTCGCGGCTGATTGACCGCTCGGCCAAAACAAACTCGTCACTTCAAGCGGCCTAGTCGTTTAAACACCCGATTCGCCTTTAATCTACCGCTTATAAGCGAATCTAATTATACCAAATTGCTTTATCAGCATGTATGTGGTAATTTGGTATAATTAGATTCGCTTATAAGCGGTAGATTATAGGCGAATCGGGTGGTTTAAAACATGCATATGTCGCGTATGTACGGGTTGATCTGGAAAGCCTGGGATCTAATTAACATTTTGGGTCCAAATTCGTACGTGTTCGAGCGAAAAAATATATGCATGCCACCGACTTCGTTGGTGGCATGTTTTGAGGGAGGATAAGCGAAAAGAAACATTGGTAATAGGAGTTGAACTAGCAAAAACGGCCCTAAGGTTTGTTTCGGGACCTAGATTTTAGCGAGGTTCATCATTTTCTGATGACAGACGAGAAACAAAAACAGAGTATATCCGTACAAATGCCACACTGTTATTTGCCTCGTGTGAGGACAAAGACAGCGATCACGTTCAGCAAGTAAGTATCACAACGGCAAAGTCCCACGTAGGGTCATCCAGAGGTCAGTGAACCGATGCGTTAGCAGAACTTATAGGCATATTGTAAAATATAGACTGGATTGGATTTGTAAAACATGNGATGTTATCACGTTCGTATCAATCCGGACTAAGGATTGGGATTTGTCAATCAGATCAATTAAAGATTTTTTTTTTTATGTTAAAAAACATTAAAGAATGTGCAAAGCACTGTTAAAAGATCGGCCAAGGCTGCTTCCTTCTTTTGGAGAAAACGGAAGCGGTTTGCGGTCTAGAAAGAGCAAAATAATGCGGTTTCCAGAATGTTTGACCCCTATAATACAGACCTCAAGACACCTTCTATAATTACTATGTAAGACGCACTAATTAGCGCTGTTCTGAAAGGTCACATCGCGGTTAAGGTAACCAGTAAATCAAGAGAAGATTTACATAATACCTGACATATCGACCAATATGCGGTATTCTGATTAAGACTGATGGCTTGGTCCTATTACTAAGAAAGAGATTCTCTGTAAACATAACTGACAATCCTAATACCTTTCGCATTGAACAAAAAAGTTACAGGAGAGTGTTGTGTCATCCAGTGTAATCTCCAGATTGACTTCTGCTAAATTTTCCCACATAAGCATTCGATCTTCGTATTAACCACTACACGAAACAATAGCTGCTAATGACAGCTTCACAACGAAGAATAATACCTACATGTCGGTCTTCCATATTATTTACATTACAAAAGTGAACAGTTCAAAAAGAAATATCTCCGTTTTTACGGTGACTTACAAGGTGACTGGAGTCAGTGGGCTCAACTTTAAGTTCATTCAAAATAAATAAAATCTTATTGCCATGTTCTTGGGCGGGAAAAGGGATTTTCCACATTTTGCTCCATTTTAGTCGACTGTCAAATTTCCTTTTCTCCATAATGTTATCGTTAGCAATTTTTCGTAACATTACAAGACTTGCCGTGAGACGAGACATGAATGAATTAGTCTATGAACGGTTTCCAATCTTCAAAATTAACCTTGGGGTTCAAAAGAAATGTAGTAAATTATTGTGCAAACAAGGAAAAAAATAGGCATTTGACGCTTCGAGATTCCTTTCATGATAAATCTTTAATAGCCCCTTGCTGTCAAACTTCATTTATAACAACTACAGATTTCCTCCATTGTTATAAGATTGCTTTTCCACAGTACGGCTATCATATACGCTTCCTTTCAACATGATGCTCTTTAGCATTTTCGAGAGTCTAAAGCTTTCCTTCCGACAATTATTGTTAATTTGCTACTGTTTCCTCTGTTAGAATGCACTTTTAAAATATGGCAGGTGTTGTTAATGGCAAAAAGATGGAGCAGCTTGAAAATTTCACATATTAATAGCTCGGGTTTCGCGCAATTAGACAGTGCGAAGAAAGAGTCTAAGTATAATAAAGCATTGCCCGTGATTTGTATGCTTGAGAAAGTGTCTACTGCGGCCTAACACAAAAAGTGAATTTGAGTCACGTGGTATGGAAGACTATCATTTTAATTTGTACACGATCTTGGTTGGTGTGTTGTATGTATCTCTGATCTTTGATATTCTTAGGTGCTTTAAGAAGAAATTATCGTATAAAAATAACACGAAAAACAATCACAGTCCAAGCAATCGTCACTTCAAATCACGCATTTGTGGACAACGCTTGGTGCCAGCGAGAGGAATGTCTTCACTTCGATTTCCAAGGCGGGGAAGCTCGCGACATTTTGTTCAACTTCGAATTCTGGCAAGGGGCTAAGGTTATACACAGACAAAACTGCTCGGATTTCAAGTTGAAACCTTTTTTATCAGACGAGACAGTTTGCAAAGCGTTAAAGTTACCCAAATATGTTAGTTACAAAAAATATTAAAACATGCCTATGAACGTTCTAACAGCCGAGTTTAGACTATTCATCTTTTTATTCGAGTTCATCTTGGAGCACATGTCTCGCAAAGTAACATCTATAA